ATGAGGCTAAGGGGCTGATAACCTTGTCTGTGGCTCTGACCTCCGCGAAAACGAAAGCGTGCTTTTGGTAGCAGCCAGGATCTGATCAGTCGGGTCCATAACAGAGTCGTGATGACCGACCTGGACCCGACTTGTGTCGTGAATCCGCGTTGCATACCAAGAGCACGTGAGTAGGAAGTAGTGGTGAGGCATAGGGATATCAAAGCTTTTTATGTCCGATTACAATGCGAAATGCTCGCGTTTCATTGTTCTCTCTTTTCCATAAGATGTTAGCGTTTACATGTTTTAAAAAACACAGCGTTATCTGTCTCACAAAACGTTTCTTTTTTTTTCGTTTTGTTTCAGAAGTGCATTTAGTCATCATGGATCGTGAGTTAGAGGAGGGTGAAATTGTAAGTGACGATGAGCAGAGTGCGTCTAGAGTTCAACCGAGTTCGTTCAAATGAGTTCAAATGAGTTCGTTTGTTGATATTTCTGTTGTTGCAGGTGGCACACACTCCTGACCCGAATCAAAAGGTTTGCTGTGTTGTGCTCGAACGAATTGATCCCTCTAAGTATATCAGGCCTACGAAACCTGCTGATGAAGGGATGCGATTGAGACGCCGGGAAAAGAGTGCTGCCCCCCCTTCTTCTGAGTGTTTAGGAGGCAAAAAGGTAGCGCCTAAGGTTACGAAGGCTATGGAGGAAGGGGTAAGTGATATTTTCTAAACACTGAAGTGCATGAAAGCTCTCAATTTTTATGACAAGATATTTTATTGTGTTTTAGTTTGGAGTGTCCAATCGCAACTCTGTCATACAGAATGTAAAAATTATGTGTCCAGTGGATGGTAAAATCAGTGCCAACTGGTCACATATTGAGGCACATAAGGATGTCAGTGCGCAAAGGTTAAAGGTTTATGCCCAGGGGATTTACTCAAGCAATGTAAGAGGCCCTTTCCACGAGGATTCCCTAGTTGACAGTTTGTATGACGCCGCACGTGAGAGTAAAGATGCGTTCAAAGCACGGCTAAAGAACTTCCTTCTGTGTGCTGGTGTTGGTTTGACACCCAAAAAATGCGACGCTATGGAAGTTTACAACATGGCTGAAGTTTTTAAAGAAGATTATGTGAGTACAAACTTACCTTTTTTGTGGATGATGATTATTTGAATCAGCAGTTTTAGTCTCCCCTCTTCTTTTTTCATAGGTCATCCCCAAGGACCACTTGCAAAGAGTTATTAAGCAGGCTGATCAAGAACTTGAGTCGTCAGATTTGGACTCAACTGACGAAGATAATTTGTAGGTGCATTTTAATATGTTCATCTGTTCTCTATCACTGTTTTGTTTACCATTCAATCATTTTATATCAAGTTGATAAAACGTAATTTTATTTGCTTTGATTGTTATTTTTTTGAAATACATGATAAAAAAGGGGTATCTCACTTAAAAAAAACCAAAAGGCACCAGTCATGCTTCCACGTCCACGTCGTTGGTGCTGGAAACACAAAATAGCTCGTATGATTCATATGAAACATTTTGTGGCTAAGAGAAGCATAATTTAATACGCGTTTTGCAGGAATTATTCAGCACGATATAATGCCAACTCCCTTCAATATTGCAACTGGCTGTTCGTGAAAAGAGGAACGACTCGCATCAATATCCCACGTGTTCTACTTGTGGCGACTTGTGATACATCTCGGAGGTACGAGGAAAGAATTTGGGTATCTCATGGTCTATCATCACGACCAGGTGCGATTAAACATACAAACTATGGTAAATATGGACGAGTGCTTTAAATTTATTACATTTAATGTACCATACTTGCCTTTCTTTGATCGCAGGTTATACCGTTGTTCGTTTTCGTGTCTATACACATGGGTCGCAGACGTCAGATTTTTCAAAGCTTGTACGTTGTCATATTGGCACCTTTGTAGGAACATGTTCTTTTCAGAATTCCTCTTTGAAAATTCAGATTGCACAACAGTCACCTGCAGAGAACGTTGCGTGTCTTGTCAGAAGAAAGCAAATTAAACGTAAAATGTTTAATGTCGTTGAGTTACGAATGGACCTGAAAAGACAAAAGCTTCAGTAAATTATCAGCGCGTATCGCAAGTTTATTGTTGGTTGTTCCAAAAAACTGCTTAGCTAGAATTTTTGTGAATATTTTCAGTTGCAATATTATTATCTCTATGAAATTCAATTTCAATGTCTTAAATTAGTTATTTTATCAGTTACTTTTGCCTCATTTGTGCTTTAAAAAGGTTGAGGAGAAGTTTGTGTGTTAAGCATGCTGGCTGTCTGTTTCCCTAGGATAATTTTATTTTTATTGTCTGAGCGATTAGCGAAGCCCATAACTGCACTTACCGGAAAAGTTTTATCCTGTTTGTTTGTCTGTTTGTATGCCTGTCCGCAATATAACTCGAGAAAGAATGGATAGAGCAATCTGGGAATTTCAGGGTCGTTCTGTATCACAAAAAGACAGATCGAGTTCGAACATGAGCATTCTAGCTCAAAAATTGACTTTTAAAAAAATCAAAAACTGAAGGTCGCAAAATATTTTTTTTTAAATATGTTTTTATGGGCTCCTAAGGGGTAACTCGTGAAAATAGAACCCTTTGCGCGAAAATTTCGTCCGTTTTGCTCTATCTTGTACCGTTTGGGTGCTGGGGAGCATGTTTGGACAAAAATGTGGTCAAAATGACCAAATAGTCTGTTAAACCGTAAAAAGTCTTCATATCAAAAATTGTATTTACACTCCTATTCACTCGTCTCGGGTGTCAGTGCCGCAGGCCTAGCTATAAGTGCGCCAGGCGCGTCGCAGGGTAACCGTGTTTCGTGAGATATCGCGAAGCCTATTACGCGAGACCTCTTTCGTTTGTCTTTGATGTAACAAAAGTGTTTAACACTTGTCAACATTGAATTTGAATGTAAAAAGAATAAATAAATTTTAAAACATCTGCACAGTGTCTCAGTTAAACCATTGCGCAACTAGTGTAAAGGAATAGGTAGAGAGAGGTCAAATATAGACAAATAACCATATACGAGTTAAATATGAGTAGTACGGTGACGCAAATCGGCAGCAATACTTCAGCTCTTTGTTAACTGCTTTAATTACACGACAAATAATCGATGTGTGAATTTCATACCACTGAGTTGCGGATTGCCTACCCATAAATTTTTAAAAAAATTTGTGACTGAACGGTGATACGTAGCACTCCGTAATTTTTTTCGGATACATTTCAGCATTAGGCGGCAATGCTAAAAAATAATTAAAGTCATACTGTTGATTAAACTCGACGAATAACCCATGTGTGATTTTCACAAGCCCGATTCCTTCATCTGCGCATTTTCATCGACCTTGTCGACAGCGTACCCCTTACGGTACGCATTTCAATTTTTTCCTCTATCAGTGAAGTCAGAGTTGTTAAGATTCTTGGGTTGGCCCTGGTGATAGTAGGGAGAAATCCCTATGAGGCTAAGGGGCTGATTACCTTGTTTGTGGCTCTGACTTCCGCGAAAATGAAGGCGTGCTTGTGGGAGCAACCAGGAGTTGATCGGTTGGGTCCAAAACAGAGTCGCGATGACCGACCTGGACCCAGCGTGTGTCAAATTTCCGCGTTGCATACCATAGGCACGTGAGTAAAAAGTAGTGGTGAGGCATAGGGTATCTTGAGAAATTTACTGATTTTATTTATGTTGCCTTTGTCAAAATATCGGGCGTTTAGACCCTGGGGAAGATAAATTATTATTAATGTAATGTTGCTATTGTTACAGATCAAGATGCCTCCAAAGCGAGATCACCTCGCAAAGTGCACAGTGTCTAATTTGTGCCACTGTCCAGATGAAGAAGGAGGTGCGCCTCTACTGGTTTAATCCCCTTGGGGCAACAGGTTTTATGCATTGTTTAACTTTTAAAATGCTTTGAGATTGTTGTTGTAGTTCCAGGTGAAGGCCTAGCTGTGGAAGCATTTGCCGGGGCTGGAGAAGCGGGCGCCATGGCTCAGTTTGATTTTGACTCTGATGATGGTATTGATGACTTTATGATGACGGTTCATATTCCGGATGAGAGGATTGCTGACTTAAAGGAGACGGTTACAAATCCGGATGATGATATAGGTGACTTTATAAGGACGGTGCAGGTGCCCGATGAAGCGTCAGCTAAACTGGCAAATAGTAAGTCATGTCGTTCTATGATTCAGAACTATCACACGTCACTTTGTACTATCTGACGAATCGATACTTCTTAAGTTTCAGGTTCAAGTGATGAACAGGAAACGGCGAACGTTGATGTAAGCAAGCTAGCGATTCGCAAGTTCTTTAAAGACTCCCGTCCAATTGATCCAGGCAGAGGCATTTGCATATTTTAACTCTTGTGTCTTTCAGAGCGGTAAAATATTCGTTGGTCTTTATAGGTATTAAACTTCTTTCAGAGCTTGTTCCTGAATCGGATGAAAGCGACGACGTGGTGTCATCGTTTGAAATTCCAGCTTCACCGGTATTCAGCCCCCAGAACGATGAAGTGGAAGCAGGTCCCCAGCCGTCTCAAGAAACTTCCCGGAATGCTACCAAGTCTTCCTTTAATGGGAACTTTGATCTAAGAAAGGTTCAATACTAAAGCTTTTGCTCTTATGTGTTTCTTCCTGCAAATCATCTTCTGTTTACAGATGGCGACGAAGATGACGGCAGCGAATTGTCCCTGGGCTTATCACTTACAGCTAAAGCAGGGTCAGATGCATTTCGTAAGTGCATTGACAGAGGAGTAAAACCATTTTTCGAAAATAAAGGTAATAAAAATAAATAAATGAACTCTAAGCTAAGCTAACATTGCCGTTCGACTATCTCATAACGTATATGTTTTTCTATTGTTTCCAGGTGGAGATGACGTGGCCTTTGAGGGGCGCAAAGATGAAACAACAAGCTCTGAACTAGCAATGTCCCAAGAAGATTTCCAAAATTACCATGAAGAAGTCTGTGAGTCTGGCATAAGCTCACACTGCGTAGGCTCCTCAGAAGAGCCTACCCGACCAATAACTGCAGTGGAAGGTATACAATAAAGTACAAGTTACACTTCACTTGTTTTAAAAGACAGGGACCCTTGCAAATAATCGGAAGCGTGAAAAAATATTTGTTTCAGCAGATGATAATGGCCGTACCATGGATGGATGTGTGCAGTCGCAACCAGTACAAGTAGAACCCGTAGCTAGGCCATCTAGATTGGGCCTCGAAGAAGAGCGTAATTATATACCTTTTTAATTTCTTGGTCGGTAAAAGCAACTTCAAGACGTATGGGCTTATAAACCTACTCTTTTCCTTTAGGTGAAATGCAAGATTCCTTTGACTCCGTGAAGGGGTTTAATCTCACGAGTAGTGATGATAGTTCAAAACACGACTGTGGAGTACCCTCCGAGGAGGAGTACGGCGCTGTGCCCTCTCATTTGATCGCCTTTGCGACAGCCAAGCTGCGCGGCGTCTCTGCGAGAGCGCGTGCAGACTCGATGCATTTCGGGTCTGTATCGCGCTCCTCGCGGGGCGCCGCGCTCTTGTGCTTTAGCGAGGCGCCAGAGAGGTGCGTGGCAGCCGTTCTCCTCCTCGCCTTTTTTTTTCTAAGTTCTTTTGATCGAGGATAGACCTCGTAAGAGCTGTGTTTAGGTATAAGACCGAAAAATACGATTTTGAGTATATAGATAGTGTATGGGTTCGGTGCGTGGCCGGGGAGGGCCCTGGGAGGGCTCTCCTGGGTGCCAAAATCTGGTCCTCGGAGGGGCCCCTGGCCGGTCGGGTGGGGCCAAAGACTCGGGGCCGCTGGGCCTGGGACTGGAGCCCGGGCTGGACTGGACTTGGCTAGGCTGAGCGCCGCCCCGTGTGGGTTGGCCCAGCATGCCAGCCTCCGCAGCCGCGGTGAAGTTCGAGTCCGAGTCCGAGTCCGAGTCCGAGTCCGGCCGGCCCGGCTGCATGCGGCCTGATGATGGGCCGAGTCCGGCCGGCACGGTGGCCAGGAGCTTTTTTTTTCTGGCCTCGATGTGCTGCAAGTGGCCTATGTGTGTGCCATGGAGATATGCTAG